CACTGAAATGTTATAAAAGAAAGTGAAGGCATCACTACTATATTTGTCTGTCAGCCATGCTTTTTAATTCATAATTTAGTAATATGCTATTAATTTTGGATGGACCAAAAGTATCTGCCTTTCTGCTATTCAAAAGAAAAAGATAAGTGCTCTTGCTTGTATCTATTCACTTACTGACATTGTGTTGGGTACTGTGTGCTGTGCTTCTGCTAGATGCTTTTTTAAATTTCATTTATTTATTTCTTTGTTTATTTAATTTTTTAGTTTTTCATGACAGGGTTTCTCTGTATAATCCTGGCTGTCCTGGAACTCACTCTGTAGTCCAGGCTGGCCTCAAACTCAAAGAGATCCCCCTGCCACTGCCTCCCGAGTGCTGGGATGAAAGGTGTGCGTCACCACCGCCGCCGCTGCCGCCACCACCACCTGGATCTCATGGAGCTTATGGTCAATGAAAGAATGCAGGAGGCAAACAATAAGACAGCTGAAGATTCTGACTCATTCCATGAAAAAGCAGGGTAGTTGGATGACAGTCATGAATTTGATTATCAAATGACAGGACCTGTACTTCAGATAAAGTAGCTTGGGGGGGAAATGTCTCAGAGAAGATGACATTTGAGTTGACATTTGAATCAGGAGTCAGTCATTTGAAAAAGAGCCCTGGGAGGAGGACTCTAGGCAGCAGGGATGACAGAGCCAAAGGCTTTGAGGAGGAAGGAAGAGTGGTACTTTTGAGGACTAGAAAGCAAACCCCAGAGCTGGGATGAGTTGAGTGAAAGGCACGGGAATAAGAGATGGGGCTGGCAAGCTGTGCCAGCTGGGGGGCAACAGCGCATCAAGAAGTCCTAGTTTTGTCTGGCGGCGGCGCACGCCTTTAATCCCAGCCTCAGGAGGCAGAGGCAGGCGGATCTCTGAGTTCGAGGCCAGCCTGGTCTACAGAGTGAGTTCCAGAACAGCCAGGGCCACACAGGGAAACCCTGTCTCAGAAAAACAAAACAAAACAAAAGGTTCTAGTTTCATTTTCAAGGAAATAAGGGGGGGTCATTGATGATCTTTAGAGCACCAAAGTTACCAGATGCATGGTTCATCATTAGCTACCCGAGAGGCTTCACTGGTAGCTAATATTCCTAGAACATTCCCCTAAACGTTGCCAGAAAGAAAACCCGAGAAAGGGTTTGTGTTTGCAAACAACAACCAGGGCCTTAGGCATGTTCTGCTACCGAGTGGCACCCATATCCATTAGAAATGAGTATCCAGGTGGATGGCCTTTAATATTCAACAGGATTTTTAATGAATGATCCTCTATTCAAGACAGTTCATACATTTTTCATGGACCCTCTTTGCCAGAAGGACCCAGGGGCATCCCAGGAGATATTCATCAAAAGAGAAGTCAAGGTCGGTTAGACAAGTTTAACTTGAAACAAGGCTTATTTGGGTAGAGCTTGTGATTTTTTAAATTTTTTTTATTTTTGGTGCATCTGATGCTGAGGGTAGTGTTCAGCCACTGGGATGTGCCAGGCAGACACATGCTCAAGTACTTAGTTACACTCTAGCCTGGGGCGGGTGACTCTTGAGGATGGTGGGGTAGTCCTCACTGAAATTAGTTCTCAGGACCAGTGCCTATGGACTGCCCATGCCTGAGTTGGATGCACTGATGGGTGTGGACCGAAGTCAAGAGGATTTTTAGAGGGACTTTTACTGAAGAGTGCTGTTTATGAAAACTTTTTCCTTTTTTTTTTCCTTCTGAGACAGGGTTTCTCTGTGTAGCCCTTGGTTGTCCTGGAACTCACTCTGTAGACCAGGCTGGCCTTGAACTTGGAGCTCTGCCTGCCTCTGTCTCCTGAGTGCTGGGATTAAAGGCACGGGCCACCACTGCCTAGCTAATGAAAACTTTTTTTTTCTTTCCAACAACATTATTCTAGCCATTTGACCGCATGGATGGAGGAACCCAGAGTGGATAGGAGGTAGTTCTTGTGACTGAATATACCACTGAACATCATGATTCATGGGTATCAACAATCATGGGTACCCTGGCATTGATTAAAGCACCAGTGGCTGGTGAGAAAGGAGATGCTTCGTGGCACAAGAGAGGTGCAAACAGCCGAAAATAGCATGCTGTGGTTGATGTCCAGAAAGAAGGAGGTGTTATGGTTTGACTAAGAATGGCCCCCATAGGCTCATGTATTTAAATGCTTGCTCCCCGGGGAATGACACTGTTTGAGAAGGACTAGGGGGCGTGTCCTTGTTGGAGGAAGTGTGCTACTGAAGGTGTGCTTGGAGGTTTCGAAAGCCCCCACCAGGACCAGTGTTCTCTCTCCCTCTGCCTGTCTGTGGATCGGGGATGCACAGCTCTGAGCTACTTCCCCAGTGCCGTGTGCTACCATGCTCCCCGCCATGTCAACGGACTATGCCTCAGAATCTGCAAGCGATCCCCCCAATTCAAGCTCTTTCTTTTATAAAGGTTGCCTTGGTCACGGTGTCTCTGAACACTGATAATGCGGCTTCTCCCTAAGTACTATTGCAATGGAGAGGAGAGGGAGCCGGGTTTGCCTTAGTCTGTCTGCAATGTTCTCCAAAGGCCATGTGGTAAAGGCTAGGTCCTCACGCTGGTGCCATTGGCAGGAATTGGGCCATTGGGAGAAACTCTGGGGACCCCAGTCACTTCCTGTCTCTTTTTGCATTTCCCCGTCACCATCAGTTGAACTTGTCTCTTCCACCTCATGCACCGCTGTGATGCATTGCCACAGACCCAAAGCACCAGGACCAAGTGACCATGGACAAGATCCTCCGACATCAGGAGCCGAAATACACCCGTGCTTCTCCTGACTGTCCGTCTCAGGCTGTCTGTCATGGTAGCCCGAAGCTGACACAGGTGTCCATCATCTCCTATCCGTCACTAGCTGAGGGCTTTTCCTGGGGATACGAAGTCGCAGGCACTTTGGGGACACCTGGCTAGCTAGGTGTGTGTGTGTGTGTTTCCACAAAGAAAGTCCTCATTTAGGTCAGAATGAGCGCTCTTTAGTGTATAGAGTGAGCATTGAGGGGCTCTAGGCAAAGCCCCAATAACACCTATTTATTACACCAGCAACCAGCCCAGGCTGTGTGCATAGGGGAATTGGTCATATCCACGTCTGAGTTAGTTTTGTCTCTGGCTCTATCTCTATCCTCATTCTTGATTTCTTTTTCTTCCTTCTTTCCCATTTATAATTTACACTATCTGGCAACGCTTAGATATCCTTAAATAAGGACACATAAGCTGTTCTAATTCTTTTCTGGAACAAGGCAGACTATAAATAAATAAACACTAATGAAGTCTAGTGTTCTGATTTTGGTTTCAAACATTTTCTTCTCAGTCTGAGACCTTGGGACATTCTTTTTTTCTTTTTCTCCTTTCTTTCTTTTCTTTCTTTCTTTCTTTCTTTCTTTCTTTCTTTCTT